TTTGTTGACTCCTCCCTTTTTTTGTGACAGGCATCAATGTATCTTGCTGCTAGTAAGATACAATCTTGTTTTTCACCTAATAAATATTGAAGTTGTGTTTTCTTGTTTAACGTTTTAAAATCAGGGTAAAGTATTTCAAATTTGGGATAAAATATGTTTCTAATGTCTTCATAGTTGGGGCAGCTGGTGAGGAAGTGTTGCTCTGTCTCCACTTCCCTGTGAGTACAGTGAGGGCAGATGCGGCTCTCTCTGGGCAGCCAGTGCTGTGGATATCTGGCCGTCTCTAGAGTCAGAGTATGGCTGCTCAGTCTGTACCTCGTCATCTGTCTTCTTCATTTACAGTCTTGCACTGTACTCAGATATTCTGCAGTTGTGTAATCTCTATTTAGGGCCAAATAACATTCAAGTTTACTTTGTGTTTCTGTTGTTTCAGTCCAATAGATCATTTTCTTTTTGTGCTTTTATAATTTGGTTGGGCCGAATTTTGTGGATGAATATTTCAGAGTCCTGATGCTGGATGTTGTTAGTCATGTTAGTTTGTTTTTGCAGCTTCAGGACCGTCTGAATCAGGGGACTTTTTTCAGGGTTCACTTCATGGTTTTTAAGGGCTTTAAAATGGTAAGAGTTGGGGTCACTCATTTTTAGGTGTTTCCAAAATTTGATGGCTCTTTTCTCAATGCGCATTAGTAGAGGGTATTGGCCTAATTCTGCCCTGCAGGCGTTGTTCGGTGTGCTCCTCTGTACTCTGAGGAGACTCTTACAGAACTCAGCATGCAGGGCTTCAATCGGATTTTTATCCCATTTTTCGAATTGGTGATTTAGGAGAGGACCCCACACTTCACTGCCATATAATGCAATAGGTTCTATGACTGATTGGAATATTTTGAGCCAGATTCTAATTGGTATTTCAATTTGGATAGATTTTTTGATGGCATAAAAGGCCCTTCTTGCTTTCTCTTTCAGTTCATTCACAGCCAAATTTAGCTTGCCAGTGGCATTTATCTTCAGCCCGAGGTATGTGTAGTTTGTGACATTTTCAATTTTGGTCACACCAAGGGTGAAGTTACGTCTCTTTCCCTGAACTCTGGGTCTTTTCTGGAATGTTAGTACTTTAGTTTTGTTAGGGTTAATCGTCAGGGCCCAGGTCTGACAGAACTTGTGCAGGATGTCAACAACACATATACACAGTCAGAGCTGCGATTCTGTGGAAAAGTGCACACGTTATGCGGGTGTAGATTCAGTGTGGGTCAAAATTGAATTCCCAGATCTAATCATGGTGTGTGTGTCATTTTTTGGGTGTGTTTCAATAAAATGCTTGGAGAAAAATCATCCACGCATAAATGCTGGTGGTGTTACTGAGGGACCGTTCATTCATCACCTCTTCATCCGAGTTACCCAACCAATCACACACACACATACACGGTCTAGAATGGTTATTCCAGGGAATTTTTATTCCGACAGCAAATCCCAGAGTGAACGCAACACAAGCCGGCTCGGCTCCGTACCTGAATATGCCGCATGGTGAATATGACGGGGTCGGACAGGTAGACTTTGTTACTGTCTTTGTTGATGGCCGCCGTTATAACAGGAGAGTTGACGATGACAGAGTAGTTTGTGTTTAACGTCTCGCTGCTGAACTTCATGCTGGCGTTTTCAGTGGTCAGATACGAACCCAGATTCTTGTACAGGACGAACGCCATCCGGATCTCCCCTGAAAGACAGAGCGACAGAAAGAGAGCGGCTGTTAGTTAGCTGTCATTATGATCAGCATCATTATGACAAAGGTCATTTGTTTCAGTTTGTTCAGAAGTATTTCGCTGCTTAACAGAAGCTGAAAGAAGTCTCACATTTGAGGGAATTAAATAAATCGGTTCAAGAGAGCAAGATCAGACATGCACGGAGGCTTGGGCAAAAATGCCACCAAAATTAATAAAAACTCAAAATCTGAGATACGGTTGCAAAAATATGCCACGGTTCAAATTTCTATCCTAAAAATGTTCTTTTAAAAGAACATTCGTGTCTTTTTATTTATGTAATTGTAGTGTAAATGCATTCATGGCATCTCTGAGCTGCATCAAAAAAAAGTTGGAGTCTTTAGGATTTTTTATGTTTATTAATGAAGTCTCTTTCTGCTCACCAAGGCTGCGTTTACTTGATCAAAAATGCAGTAAAAATAGTACAATTGTGAAATATTATTACAATTTAAAATAGCTGTTTTCTATGTGAATATCTGTTAAAATATAATTTATTTCTGAGATCAAAGCTGTATTTTCAGCATCATTACTCCAGTCTTCAGTGTCACATGATCTTCAGAAATCATTCTAATATGCAGATTTGCTGCTCAAGAAACATTTCTGATTATCATCAATGCTGAAAACAGTTGTGCTGCTTCATATTTTTGTGGAAACTGTGATGAATTGCATCCTAATGCATCCTTGCTGAATAAAAGTATCTGTTCCTTTCAAAAATAAATAAATAAATAAATAACAACCCCAATGTTTTTTTAACATTACTTTTTATCTAAATAACACTTCATATGCAGCTTCTGTGCCACCTCTGAAGTGCAAAAATTGAATTTACTGATCACAATTTAATTTGATTGGTAGCCACCTTTAGGGTTTAATCGTTTAATTTATTGATTACATTGAATACTTCGATATTAAAGATGACGCATACTGAACACACAAGGTTAGAAAACCTTTGCCCTTATAAAAGGTAAAAAAAAACAATGCTGCTGGAAATCACTTTAAGTGGGCAAATATCGGCCCCTAATGGAAAAGAGCGCGCGAGCGATCGGAGGGGAGCTCGTTTGGGAGATCAGTCACCTGCTAAAGCCTTTAAAAAGCCAAAGCGACCGAATAACAAAGCAAAACTTGTGCAATCTGCAGTTGAACATGGCCTGATGAGTCGTACTGGGGCTCAGCCACATGTTTCTTTAGAGATCACTAAAAAACTCTTCATTAGCACATCATAGAGAGCGAGCAGACACCATCTCCAGCTGATCGAAGCCCTGTTTCAGGCGTTATATTAGAGGGAAAGAGCAATGAAGTGAAATAATTTGAGCTTTGATTAGATGGGATTCGGTAGATCACGTAATGCATACATAATACCCATAATGCTTTGTTCCTCTCAGCAGCATTTACTGAGAGGCACGGAGGTTTCGAGAGAGCAACGAGAAAAAGGGAGGAAAAAAATCTAACCGCAGAGTCGATTTGATTCAGCTTTATTGAAATGTCTTTAGAACTTTACTGCCTCCTTTGACAGAGCCACAGTTCTGCTCATTATATTTGCTTTTTTTTCGTGAAAAGAAATGAAAACCCAACCCCCCCCCCACTGCCTCCCCACCGAGTCTGGATCACTGACTCACAAGAACACAAAATAAATGATTTGCGATTCCTGTTAATGGGCCGTTTGGTGGCAGCTAGAAAACTTCTGATGAAGGAAACCAGTTCATAAAATGGGAATAAGTGTGGAGGATCTACATTGTTAGCCCTCTATTATTATTTGCCAAGTAACACATTGGAAATCAAGAGTTTCCAGAGAAAGGAAGTTGCATTAGTTATTTAGTGTTATTTTAGTATCACGTTTATAGTTTGTGTTAATATTTTGAGTTAGATTTTATTTTTTATATATATTTTTTTCATTTTAATTTTAGTTATTTTAATTTTGTTGTGCATTTTTGTCATTTTTATTATTATTATTATTGTTATTTTTTTTTTTAGATATGTTCATTTAGTTTTTATTAAGTTTTAGTTTTAATTATCTTAGTTCTTCAATTTATAACCAAACGAAAAATTTTGGCAACTATATATATATTTGTTTTTATTTAAGTTACTGTTTAATTATTGTTTGTGGTTTAAATTTTTTGTTTTGCTTTATTTAACTTGAGTTAATTTTGTACTTAACGAATAAAGACTAAATGGAAAAAAGAGAATGTGGTTTTGGAAGTGTATATTTTTTATTTATTTATGTATTTTATTTTATTTTTTCCAGTAAAATGTTGCTTTGGAAACTAGTTAAAATCTTCGCTCACAGTAACAGCACCGATGCTGGAAGAACAGATCAAACAGACATGAAAACTGGCTTGTAATCGTCCTTTCTTCCGCTGCATGTCTCTTTCCTCACACAAAAGATGTTCCGAAGAAGCTTCAAGCTCAAATGTAAAGCATTATTCACTGAAAGCCTGCAGCTCTCAAATCTCACTCATGGTTATGCATTTTTTAAACACGCCTTGTTACAATAGATGGCCAAATATATGAGAACAAATTAATGTTAATGTTAAATTGTATATATATATATATAGTATATTAGGGCTGTCATCGTTAACGCGTTAACGCATGCGATTAATTTTACAATCCTTAACGCGTTAAAATAATTTAACGCGGTTAACGCAAAATTACTGAAGCACAATTTCTATTCTAACCCTTTAACCCAATTTTGCTTCTCTGCTTGCGATCAGATCATTTTAAGCCACTAGACTCCGGGAAAGTTTTCAGTCCAACGATCCAGTAAGCGAATGCATTCAAACAATCCGTCCAAAACAGCGCTAATATAAAGGAAACCCGGCTGATTACATCAGAGATTGCAGAGAGAACAGAGACTCGCGTTGCGTTTTCAGTGAATTATTCATTCCAGTGTGTTTGGCTTTAAAACACGAGCTCTGTCATATTCTGTGATTGTCTCTGAACGAGCCCTCACACGTAACACGCTCTCTGTGAAGTACGGACTGAACGGATTGTCATCACATCCCACCGCTGTATGGCCAGATGAGACGCAAACTACAGTTTCTCGACTGGATAACCAATCTCGCTAGTAAAGTTTTGATGGATGAAGACTGCAATCAAGGTAAAGACGATTGTGGTGGCGTACAGGAGTCGTAGAGTTAGCACGCGTGAGTCCGTGCGATCAGTGCTCTTGACGCACTGATCGCACATTATATTTATGCACAGGCACAGACATTTCCGTACATTCACGTTGTTTCCCACACACATTCATGACAATGTTTTGATTTGTCATGTTTATATTGCTGTGTTTAGTTATACAGAATGGATCCGTGTACTGTAGTAGATATGCAGTCAGCAGGCGGTTGGTTTAGTTTTTTTGGCATCTGCATGTTGTCCTGTTAGGTATCGCAACTTGGCTTCTCTAAAATGTAAAAAAGCTCTTTGGTGTTGCACTGTACACATACTATAAAATGTTTTCTTTCTTATGTGGGCTCCTTATATCATTTGGTTCTTTGGTGTCCTTTTGGAGTTTCTAAGTGTCCTTTTTTGGAAAGTCATCTAAATTTATCTTTAAAAAAGCTTGCAGAAAATATAGATTTTTGAGAATCACCCTTCAATCTTTTGGTTTACTTTGCTGGATATAGCAAATGATGACAA